TATGTTTCATGTGTTTCAGGAATACCCATTACCCCAATCTGAATGGCAAACTCCTTTTTTGTTTTGTTTTTTTTAAACTATAAGAGTTTTCTAGGTAGCTCAGATTGGCCTCCAACTTGTGATCCTCCAGCTTTCACCTCCTGAGTGATGGGAATACAGGCGTTTGCCACCATACCCAGTTCCTGCATGGCAAATTCTAATTCATCCTTCAAAACGCCAAGTAGGTGGCATCTCAGGAAACGCTGAGCTCCACACGTCCCCCAACATTTGTAATTTGCACCTCTTGCTACTCCTTCATCTTACTACTAACCACAGAGTAGCCTTCAGTGAGTGTTTGAAGAAAAATTAGTATTTTGTTATTGAAAATTAATTTTATCTCAGCAAACTAAAGATTTCTAAGAGATGTCTTCAAGTGGATTTTTCATACTAAAAGATGAAAAAATGAATAAAATAGAATAAAAAGGGTTATAAATGAGTCTTTTTGAGGTATCTAATAAAACTTTCCCTCCTAGGAAAGAAGAAACAATACTTTTATTTAAAGTACTACCACCAGGTTTTACTGAAAATGCTCCCCTAAGAGAAAACTACATCTATTTCACTAAAAACAATTTTAGAGAAAAAGGAATAAAGAAATAGGATTTCACTAACAAATAATGGTGTAAAGTTTCAAAGAGTGTACAGATGTCAAAAGTAAGTCAAATTAATCAGAGGTATATGATTTAAGTAGCTTAGAAAGAAGATTCAGATGATAAAGACAAGAAGCGGCAGTTTAAGTACCTGAATCATCCATCCTTTTACAAAGAAGAGTGTGTTACAAGAAGACAGGGGACACAGTAATACATCAGTCACTCACCTTTCTTCCTCCATGTGCTAAGAGGCCAGCTAGTCTTAAATTTAAGTGAACAATCATGTACTCTAAAGACCATGACATAAAAACTTCAACAATTTGACAAGAGTTGTAAAATTTATATAGAGTCTAAATGATAGTTTTAGAATTATAATCTAATCTGTGGATTAAGCAAATCTGTGGCTTTAAACTGGTGACTTTGGCTGCCAGCAAATTCAAAAGCTGAAGTTAAGGGACTGCTACATTTTATGGGGGGAAAAAGTAAAATAATCATCATACCTAAAAATTCAAACAACACATTCTCATGAATGCTTTAAGATTTATGTAATAACAAAATGAAGTTCTAGACTGAGTTTTAGCTATACTCATAGCTATTAATCTTGATTTGACAGGGAACTTCCAGAACATCATCACATGAGGAAAATGAGCATACAGAACTGCACTTGTGATGCACCATGAAGAAAACAAATGACAACAAATGCTGGCAAGGATGTGGGGAAGAAACCTACCCACTGTGGGTGGGCGTATAAACCAGTGAATAGCCTGTGGAAATCCATGTGGAGGCCTCAGAAAACTAAGAGGATTACCATATGACCCAGCTATACTACTTTTGGGTATATACCCAAAGGACTCTACTTCCTAGCACAGAACTACCTGTACATCTGTGCTTACTGCTGCTCTATTTACATTAGCAAGAAAATGGAATCAGCCTGGATGCTTAATAGATGAACAAATAACGAAGATATGGAATATATATATATATATATTAGAATTTATGAAATTAGGAGATTCCCAGGAAAATGGAGAGAATGCGAATATATAATAGGAGATAACCAAGGCTCAAAAAAACAGTGTATGTTGTCTTTCACATGCAGATCCTAGCCTCAAACTGTCAAATACACAGGTCCAGATGGGCAATCAAAATGAAATATGTATGAAAACCCCACATGGAAGCCTATTATTCAACAAGCTTTTTAAAAACTAAAAAAAGTTAATTACAAAATTAGTTATAGCAATTATAGTAATGTGAAGAGGAAAATGTCTCATAGGAAAATATTAAAGCTCCACAGCCTAGTCCACAGGCAGCAAAGTACAGTTCACCAGCTATTTCTGGTCCACTGTCTGCTTTTAAAGAAAATTTTTATTAGAAGGCGGTCATATTCATCCATTTATAGCCACTTATTGCTGTTTTGTGCCTGAAAGTAAAGTGAGTCATTGTAACAGAAGACTAGCCTATAAAAACTAAATATTTAGCCCTGTGCAGAAAATCTGCTAGCCTCTGGCAAAGAAGGAATTCATGGCCCATGCACATGTGACAGTCAGGGATATGAATATTCCTGGGCAGCAGAAGAAAGATGCCCGGGCAAGCTTTTAAATGAAGACATGGGTGACTGTGACTTAAGTGAACACTGGGAAGCAGTCTGACAGGACTACGAGTATGCTCCAGGAGGATATGATCCATGAGAAGAGCCCCCGTGGGAGCAGAAGAACTGCCAGAATTTAGTATTGCTAGAATATGTAAGAGGTGATAGGAGATGAGGTTGAGGAGAAAGAATTAGGTCCCGTACATGCCAGGACCAAAACCTTACATTTCTAACAACATATATGTATATGTACACATGACTTTACATGAGTAAACAGATTCACAGGAGAAATGAGTGCTGAAGAGAACAGAATAATGTGGTCAGGGAACTTCACTAAATACCTTTTGCAATTTTTATTTTTTTAAATAAATAAACAAACCCCTTGTCTCTTCTAAAGTTACATATCAAAAACTGTGGTCTGACATGAATTAAGTTCAAATGGGTTTACATGACACAGCACATTGGACAGACAAGTCTACCGGGGCAGTGCACAGGAGGACAGCAGGGCCAGAGAGCAGCTGGAAGGCTAACACACTATTGGCTGTTTAATACAGTAGCATAAACATGAAGTAATAAAACATATGACACAAACGTGCCTTTAATCCCAGCACTCGGGAGGCAGAGGCAGGCAGATCTCTGTGAGTTCAAGGACAGCCTGGTCTACATACAGGGAGACCCTGTCTCTAGCTCAAAAAAAAAAAAAAAAAAAAAAAAAAAAAAAAATCAGAGAACTAAAAGGAGTTGTACTATTTTATGGTCTTTTATCGCAAATAGAAATCTTTCACTAAAGGCATTTATTAGGAGTAAGTTGTAGGATCTCTAGCCTCACCAGTATACATAATAACACTACCATCTTTGGATATAAGCCAAGAGGATTTCAAGTAGTTTTAAGGAAAAGAGGTAGGGGATGGGGAGATGGCTCAGTGGGAAAAGTACCTACTGTACAAGGCTGGAGACCTAAGTTCAGACCTTCAGCATCCATGAAAATCTAGGCACAGAGGCACCACTAATCCTGGTACTGGGAGGCAGAGAGGCAGATGCTATGGGCTTGCTGGCTAGTCAGTCTAGCCAAACAGTAAGAAGCTCCAGGGTCACTGAGAGACCCTGTCTCAAAAATAAGGTGGAAAGCAATCGAGGAAAGCCATTGTAACATCAAGCTCTGATGTGAACATGCGCCCTCACAAGCGCAAAGATTCCCCTGCTGACTTTCCTACCAAAGACAAGAACATAAACACAATAAGGAACAAGGAAGACACAGGGCAAACTAGGGGGAAATAATATAACACTCAAAACATTTTAAAAATAAGAATACTGATACTTTCGAAGAAAAAGAGAAAAAAACAGAATATTTTGTGTGCATGAAAGCAGGTGCATGCATGGGTACACACGTGTTTGTTTGCATGCATGTAGAGCTAGAGGGCACCCTCGGGTGTTGTTCCACAAATGCTCTCTCCACTCTGGCAAGCTCCAGGGGTTTGCTTATCTTTGTCTTTTCAACACTGGGATTGCAAGTGAGTGCCATCATATCAAGATTTTTTATGTGGGTTCTGGATATTGAACTCAGGACCTCAAGAGTCAAACTCTTTACTGCGCTATCTCCTTGAACACTATGTTAAAAAAATTTTTTTAATTTTTTAATTTTATTTTAATTTTTAATAACTACATGATTAGAAGAAGCATTTCACTACAGATTTAACATATTAAGTAACACACCCCAGAGCAAGAGTACATCTCTTTCACAAGTGAGTGCAAGTTTCTAGGTTCACAGCTAAG